CTCTTCCCCTAATTCTAGCAGCTATAGTAGAAATCTTTCAAGTAAAAAGCTAAACTTAATTCCTACTAAAATTCTGCTCTCTACTCTGTGTCTATGGTACTCCTAAGTTGTTCTTTGTGTAGGAAGACATTTGCAAGTTCACTGAGGAGAAAAGAAAGAATGGAATCAAATAGGTCCTGGAAATGGGCTTCTCTCAGATTTCACAATACAAAAATCAAGTGGCTGATCCAAATATCTACGCTAATCAAACCAATGAAGTCAATACACTTTATTTGTACCTTGAATATTAAAACTTAAATGCAAAATAACTAACCTATGTTAACTACTCTAACCAAATAAAACAAAGAAGTGGGGATCAACTGTTGACATGTGTTTAGGGCTTTACTAAAGAGCCTAGGTCAGCAATAAAGTATTTGCAAATAAACAATACAGCATTTGCACTTGGTTTTGTACTAACCATATACAAAAAAAACAGTCCAGTAAAAAAAGCATTTGCAAATCTGTGGTTTGCAACACCCAGGGTTGATGCATATTATAAAAGGTTTTTTCCTTTCTTTTTATGCCTTACCCACCTGCTCCATGAGACCCTGATCTCTAGCAGTCTAAGAGTTAGAATCATAGAAGATTAGGGTTGGAAGGGATCTCAGGAGGTTATCTAGTCCAACCCCCTGCTCAAAGCAGGAACAGCCCAAACTAGATCATCCCAGCCAAAGCTTTGTTTAGCCAGGTTTTGAAAACCCCAAGGATGGAGCTTCTACCACCTCTCTGGGTAACCTGTTCCCGTGTTTTACTACCCTCCTAGTGAGAAAATTGTTCCCAATTTCAAACCTAAACTTCCCTTGCTGCAACTTGAGACCGTTACTCCTTGTTCTGTCATCTGCCACCACTGAAAACAGTCTAGCTCCATCCTCTTTTGAACCCCTGCTTCAGGTAGTTGAAGGCTGCTATTAAATCACCTCTCAGTCTTCTCTTCTCTATACTAAATAAGCCCATTTCCCTCCCCCAGCCTCCTCACCATTTTCGTTGCCCTCTGCTGGACTCTCTCCAATCTGTCCACATCCTTTCTGTAGTGGGGGCCAAAACTGAACACAGTACTCCAGATGTGGCCTCACCAGTGCTGAATAGAGGGGAATCATACCTTCCCTTGGCCAACTGGCAACATACCTACCAATGCAGCCCAGTGTGTCATTAGTTTTCTTGGCAACAAAGGCACACTGCTGGCTCATATCCAGCTTACTGTAACCCCCAGGTCCTTTTCCACAGAGCTGCTGCCCAGCCAGTCAGCCCCTGGCTGGGCAGGGCCAGCCACTAACGTGGGCTGCAGAACACATTTTGCTGATGAGACATCTAACTGAGGCTTTATTGCATTCTCCTTTACCTGGTGCCTTGTATTGCTGGAAGGTGTTATTCACCAGTGGGAAGTGGAGTACTATGGGAGCCTTTGGATTTTCAGCGTCCATAAACATATAACACTCCTTTGGCTTCTGCCTATCTTTCTCACTGACAGCGATGTGTGGAAAGGGGATTTCCCGATCTTCACAATACTTCTGGGCCTGATGTAGGACCTGGACCCAGAAGACAAAAGTTCCTTTCTTTACTGCATGAGATTTAAAATCAGGTGATATCAGATTTTCAGAACAGCTTAGCTCCCTTTTAGACGCATAAATTGGAGACAGACTTTCAAAAGTGCTCAGTCTATAGAAGTTGCAGAGCATTCTGACGCTTATGGCTAGATGTACAAAACAGCTAACAGAGGGGTGCTCAACCTCTACCCCACAAGGCCATGTCATCCAGCCTGTGGGTCTACCCCAAAAATTTGGCAGCAGAGGAGCCAAGACAGCATGAATTGCAGCTCCCCTGGTGCCAAATTTCCAGGCCTGTGGGGAGCCCCGTGGACTGGATAATGTGGCCCTGCACACAAGACTGGACCAGCAAATGGCTGGATCCAGTGTGCGAGTTCAGGCCAGCACATGGTTGAGCTAGCACACCAAACTGCACCCATGAACCAATCCTAAGTACAAGATCCAGCCTGTGGCCTTGCCTTGCACTATTCATCTGGCCCACGGGGCCAGAAGGTTGAGCACTAGGGCTGTATGAAATTTCGCCAGTTGTTTCGATTCGACACTGTTTCAACTAATTTCAAGCTCAAAATAGCGAGATCGAATCGAAATGAAGGGCTTCGAAACAGCCTCGAAACAAAACGGGGCTTGTCGAAGCATTTTGAAACTTTTTAAATGTTTTGAGTTTCGAAGACAGCAGTGAGAAACAGGGGAGAACCAGGGCTGCACTCCCAGCACTTGCCAGGAGTACAGCCCTGGCTCTCTCTGTCTCCCGCTGCCGGAAGCCGATAGCAGCTCAGGGGAAGGGAATTGAGCATGGGCTCAGTTTCCCTCCCCAGCACTGCAATCCAGTGGGGGATACTGCGATCCAGTGGGAGGTGTGGAGAGTAAGCCCAGCTGGGCTCACTTCCCACCCCCAGTGAAACATCAAAACAGCATTGAAACAGCCTTTCAGTTTTGACGGTACAGAATGGAACAGCTGTTTTGAATTGAAATGGAATTTGAAACGGAACACTGTTCCTTCAAACCGTCAAAACTGAAGGCAAAACGGAATGGTGCCATTTCGCACAGCCCTATTGAGCACCAGTGCTGTATGCCATTGAGGTATTTCTAAATGTGGCATTTGAATATTCTGCACAGATCTATGAGATGACAGGTAATATGAATGTGCTCAACTGTACTCATTTGTGTCTCACCTCAAATGGAGCTTCCCAAGAGTAGTTGAATGACAGAATGACATCAACATCTCTCTCCCGCTGAAGCATCAAGGGAAAGGGAGAGTTTATAGAAAAAACCCCATCTATCAGGTACAGTCTGTTTTCCTGGGGAGTGAGTTTGTTGGGGAAAGCATCCAAGCCTGAAAGACCCCACAAATCACAACAATAAATAAAATATACAAAAACTGATTCTCTGAAGTTACAATAAAAGGCTGCAAATCATGGAAAACCTAAAGGTGAAATGTGTAATTATCTTGCAATTAGCTGTATTTCCATCCAACACCCATCCACGCCCCCAAAGATATCCCCACTGTGGATCATACATACTTAAGCATTTAAAGGTGAATTAAGTACTAGTGTAATTAGGGATGGGTAAGCAGTGCACCAGCCCTGGGCACTGATTTAAAGAGGGCACCAAAATGATGGCTGCTGGGGAGCCTGCACTGCAGCAGCAGCAGCCCAGTTGTGGGGAGTGTCTATGTCAGATAAGACCCTCCAGCACTTGCCAAACCTCACCCTCCCCACCAGGTATTGAGCATCTCTGCCCAGAGCACAAAAATTGCTAGTTATACCTCTATGGAAACAGGATTTGGCCTCAAGTGATTTGTCCACAAAGTCAATGAGGGCATAAATAGATGTTGCCTTTGGGCTGCCATAAAAATGTTCAGGGTGGCACAAGTTGTAGGAAAACAGACATCCTGGACCCTTGTCAAGTTCCAAACGCGCAAAAATGTTGCTTCAAGCAAAAGTAGTCAGTTTGTGACCTTATAAGGGAGGACATCTGTTTGCTTATAGAGCACCCCAGGAATTCTCCTGCATGGGATTCCCATGATGTGTGTATCAGGCTGCCATACCCCTTCTTCAGGCACACATCTGCAAGTACTGCAGATGTGTGAGGATTCCCCCACTTGCAGACACACAGTGTAGAAATCCCCTGCAGGAGACTGCCACTGTATGCCTGTCTCACTGCCACGTCCTGACCCAGGGGACAAGTCGGCAACATCAGAGCCAGGCATCTGGGACCGCTGTCCTAGAGGTTTAGGCCCCTGAAGTCCTGAGAATGGCCTAGGACTTGCAGGACAACAGCCCTGGGTGACATCTGTAAACACCAATGAAGCATATCAGCCATGTCTGGACAAATCCTAGCACAGCTGAATCCACTCCAACAGTGACATCTGTTTATACCCTGGAACACAGCCCAAATTTCTTTAGTCTTGGGCCACTATGGTAAGCACAGAGTTGTCCATACTTTCAAGGCAAGTTATTTCCCATTATCAAATAGGATTTGCAGCACTTTTGTCCTAAAGTATATACAGCCAAACGCTGTTCTTGTTTATGCTTGTGTAACCCTGTGAATGCATTGGTGTAAGTAAGAGCAGAATCTAGCCCACAAAATTTCCCCTGGTGCTTTAGTTACTTTACTCAAAGATTACAGAGTTTTGTCTTGTCACTAGATTTGTCACTTTGCCCTTCCTGGGAGGCCCAAATGTCCCAGATGCATATCCTACATTCTCTCCCACAGAATTGTTACTCACCTTTCCAAGCCACGAATTGCTTGGCATTGAGATAGTCCTTATGAAGGTGAAGTCCATGCATAAAATTGACATTTTCTCCAGTGGAAACACGAGAGCTAAAGAAACCCTGAAATAAGTTTGAGAAGGCTCCACCTGGCATGACCATCCGAGTCTCTAACTCTGAGGTGTCCACTGGCTTGTAGCCATGAGCCTCATCTACAAAAGAAAAAAAATATCCAGAGTTCAAGCCTAAGCATTATCCCCTAATCATTTAGCCCTGGAGTCCTAGGAGTCTGACACTTTTCTTTAGAACCACTGGGCTCTTCATCACCAGTGCTATATTTTTAGTGGGAGTTACCTCCAACCTATACTTAAAAATTGAAGGGTGTAATTAAATCCCCATGTATAACTTTATGATGAAAACTCAATTAAGACAATCATCCCTAACCTGATTACATCACAGATCTCCACTTTGGACACTGCATGATTTTTACCTAGTTACAGAGAGAAATAAATAATATAAACCTTAAACATACTGTAGTAAGTGTGTTTGGAAACAACTGTGACATTCCCAGATCTGCGAACTTCATTACAACTGTAGTATAAATATGTCTTAAATCCGAGGTTTTTGTGAATTTTGAATACAGTTGTTGTACTAATCAACTTTTGCTTTGAGTCTTAGTTGGTTGTAAAAAAGGGTTCCTTGCTTCCATACAACTTTAAGAACAGCCCAACATATCTCTCCTTTACCTGCAACTTTGATGGCATCTCTCAGAGTTTCTAAGAACCCAACTTTTGAAACAACCACCTCTTCCCAGATCTCATCTAAATTTGCAGCAAAGGCACTGGACCATATTCCTGACAAAGGATAAAATATAAAGGAAATGATTAAATTAGACTTCTTAAGCACTGAACAGCACTGTGCCAATAGAAAATGACCATATTCCGGTTCAACACACTAGATGTACCATATTAAGGACACAGCCTGGGTAGGACTAATTATATATGATTTTAAAGAATGGTGTTAAGGCAGGGGCAGGCAACTATTTGGGCCCATGGGCCACATAGGCAGTTCTGGGGAACTGTCTTGGGCCAATCAGCATCTCCTCCTCCTCCCACAATATCCCAGAGCCCTTGCATTCTGTGTCTCCTCCCTGCCACGGCCACCACCACCAATACCCACCAGCAGCTGAGCACACAGTCCTAGCACCGGCCCCAGTCTGCCCTGGACAAAGTGGACCAGCACCAGACCAGCTGGGACCTGCATGCACAGCCCTGACCCCAGCCTCCCCACCTGCCCACAATGAGCAGCAGTAACTGCAGGGACAGCAAGGCAGAAGCTGCTGCTGGCCACAGCAAAAAAGCAGACCCTCCCCTTCGCCACTGCTGGGCCTTTCTTGCTGCAGCTTCCCAGAGCCCACACCCAGGTCACTGTGCATCTTCTCTCCACTGCTACCATTGCCCCACTGGGTGACATGGAGGTGGCAGTGACAGTAGCAAAGAGGAGCCACAGGGCAGCCCAGGTGTGGGCTCTGGGCAGCCACAGCAAGAAGGGCCTACCAGCAGCTTCTGCCTAGCTGCCACCGCTGCTGCCACTGCTCATCGTGGGTGGGCAGGTCCAGAGTGAACATGGGGCAGGCCAGAGTCAGGGCTGTGCGTGAAGATCCTTGCTGGTCTGAAGCTAGTCTGCTCCAGTTGGGACAGTTCTGGAGCTGGTGCAGGGCAGGCCAGGCCTGTGCCAAGCCTGTGAGTGTGGGTCCCCGCCAGTACCATGGGGCTGGAGCCAGTGGCAGCGGCCAGAGGGGGGGGGCGGTCCGAGGGGGGGGGGGCCGGGGGCCGCCAGCCAGTGGCGGTGGCAGCCAGAAGGAGCTGCTGCTGTCTGGGCTGCCTAGAAATGCAGTTCAGCTGCAGAGCCACCTCAGTCCTGCTGTGCATCTGGGAGCAGCTGGATGTGCCATGGCCTGGATGGCGCCTGGCCTAGGCAGGACCAAGAGACCCACTGCAGACTGGAAAAAGTCCCTCCATGGGCCAGATCCAGCCCACAGGCTATATTTTGCCCATCCCCGAGTTAAGGGGACCAAGAGTATGAATAAATCCCTAACAAGTTTCTGAGAGTATTATCCTGTGCAGAATAATACAGTATTTCTAGAAGCATCAGAACTTACCCTGCAGAAAGGAAATTCTGGGCTCTGCACGTTTCTTAAGAAGCAGCCCCATGAAGAATTCACTGCCAAAGTCTTCTGTATGGATAAAGGCTCCATATTTGAGGATACCAAACTCATGTGGTGTGAATTCACACC